ACAGTGCCAGAAGAGTTATCCTGTCAAATTGTAACCTCTTATGTATAAATAAGTAGAACTGCTAAAGCTGGAACATGTTAAGCATTAAGAGATCAATAAGACATGTAATAAATTAATAGCTGCAAGTAATTTGTGATGAAGAGCTGTAGTTTACTTGGAGGTCACTGAGGCAACTTGCCAAGCATTTCAAAGCTGCAGATACAGGGGTTTCCCCCCAGTTTAATCACATTTTCTTCTAAGATGGGCTCAAGGTGATATATATGCAGTTGTAAAATAAACACAATCGACATCAGCAATTTTTAAGCCTCAACTAGCAAACCGCAGAGCTAAAATGGCCTGCAATTTTGAACCTCATTATTGGAGAAAAGGGATGCAATTAGTCCCACTGGTCCAAAGCAAAATCCAAATGCAGAAGCCATGAAATGCCTTTATTGAGACCAACCAAAATAACAAGCATTTGAGTCCTATTCATGAGGCTAGACGTTTTAAAGGGAAGGAAGAATGTTTCAGGACATGCTCTTAAAGCCTTGTCAAACTGCAACTTTGGCCTTCTGGGATGAAACGGCAAACCGTGTAGCCATCCCGCTGAAAATACAAAAACCAGACAACCTGTTACCAGCAGCATTTCCAGTCCGCATACTGGTCTGCAATTCACACGAAACTGCTAGCAAGACAAGGTCTTCAGAGCACAGCCTGAAACATGCCATCTGCCCATGAGATTTTTTTTTCAATTGCCACTTTTTTATATGTGTGCGCGCGTGCACATGCGTGTACCTGGAAGTCATGGCTACCTCTGGTGACTAAGCTCTACCGGGAGCCTGGAGGTTATTCAGAGAGGTGGCCGAATCAAGCCTGCCTCCGCCTCTTGTATTTTAAGGAGGTCTCCCATCCAAGTACTTGCCAGAGTCAACCCTGCTTAGCTTCCAAGATCTGACAAGACTGGGCTTGCCTAGACTACCCAGGTCAGGATGACCATGAGATTTTTTAAAACATCCAGCTTGAGAATAGTTCTGGACAACTGAAAAAACTGTATGCTGCTTTGTTACTTCTTAAATTGCCCTAATGAAAGGTATTAGGTGGGTTCTGCTGTGATTAATGGAGAGAACACACCTAGAAAACAGCAAGACAGGCCACTAACCCATCAGGACTCTTTGCAATGGTTGCAACAGCCAACCAGCCCCTGCTTTTAACAGATGTCGTGGAATCTGGCTTTAGGGTACTTCACCAATCCACAGAATTCATTGGGAAAAATAACACCTTTAATTTAAACTCTTAAAAATATCACTCTAAGCTTCCGCCGTTTGCACAGTGATTTACAGTCTGTCACATCACTACACAAGCAGTAAGCAACAAGGCGATTTCCATTTCACATATGGGAAACTAGGTGAGAAACAGCAATGTATTCACTTATCAAAGGGAACATCATAGGTACATAACTATGTTAGGGGCAATACCTGTCATGCAGGGGTCATTTCGTAGAAAAAGAGCTGCAGGAGCTCATTAGCATAAGTATGCTAATGAGCTACTAGGCTATTAGCATAATAGCTCATTAGCATATGCCAGACCTCCTAACATCACCGGAAGTGATGTCAGAAGGGGAAGCAAAAGAGGGGGCATCTTCAAAAGCCTTCCCTTCCCTTCTCCAGTGCGGGCCCCAGGAGGCCGGCGATGGGCCTCCTCAGGCCTATCCCGGGCTGCAGCGCTCCAATGTGGGCCCTGGGAGGCTGGCGACGGGCCTCCTTAGGCCTCCTCTGGGCCGCAGCGCTCCAGCGCGGGCCCTGGGAAGCCAGCGATGGGCCTCTTCAGACCTCCCCCTGGCCGCAGCGCTTCGGCGTGGGGAGCTGGGGGTGGGGGCTTGCTGCCACCACCATTTGTGCCAGCTCCCGGGCTGCCAGCTCCCGGTGCTCCGGTACGCTCCGGCCCCAAATGACCCCTGCTGACATGTATAACAAGCAAGAGAAACAAGGATCGTGGACTGAGTACTAGAACATAAGCACACAAAACTGAGTACAAGATTTGGAAAAACATAGATGGTTTAAATACAGAGCAAAATCTGTTCATTGTGCAAGGAAAGCCCCATTACGGAAATAAGGCTCAGGGTTAGATATATATCTATAGAGTGGAAGATGCAGTATTTAAAAAGACGTAGGGACTAGAATAAGGGGGAAGCAAAGGTCCTAGAAAAATGTGTGGGAGAATCACGGGCAAAGAAACGAGCCGCTCAGAAAGGACCATATTTTTCTTTCAGAGAGACACAGACTCTGAATGATTCAGCACTTCCTTCCTTATGACTTTTATATTAAATCTGACCTTTAGGGTACCTATTAACTTCATTTCATAGCATTAGGCGTCCTGTTGGACCAGGCAACCAGGCATATCCCCAAATTAACAATAATTAACATCTAAAAATAGCTTATGCATGTACTTTGATCTACCACAAAGGACCGTAATTTTTCACTTTGATCTGCGCTACATATACAGGTTTTACAACTGCTTTTCAAACGGCTTTTCACTCCACTACTTTCCTCTTCTGTCTGAAACATGCAGAAGCAATTTTGATTACTACAATCTCATCCATAAAGTTCTATCTGGATATTAAATAATAAACTGTCTTTATCCCTGTGTCCACGACAAAAGCCACAAAACCAAGCCACAAATACACAAAATGTGAGTTTCTATGTACTCAAGACACTCTCCAGGTATGAATAAAAATATGACTTCATCTTTTGTTAATTTACAAAAGAGAAAACCTAAGGACAATAGGCCTCCGGCCAGATAAGGGCTGAGCACTCTCCATTAGGATGGAACACTGAGAGCAGCTGAGTGTCAGTTAAACAAAAAGGGGGGAGGGAAGAGAAGACCGTGTTTTCCACAGGGGGACAGGCACGTGTAGTTTTTCTGTTTCTGCTGTGGCTACCAATACAATAGTAGGACCATTTCTTCAGTAATGAAATTCCCCACATTGACATTTTAAAAACTGTGCATTGTGTGAATGCAGTAGATTTTTCCTCACCAGGCACAGACCAGAAATTTTCTCCTTTTTACCCCGCATTTTCGGAAGCCCCAGTTTTAGCGAGTTCCAAAACATGGGGTAAGAAGGAGAAAAATTCGGATCTGCACCTGGTGAGGAAAGCTCTACTGTGGAAATGTTCACATAATGCACAGTTTCTAAAATGTCAATGTCAGGAATTTCACTACTTTGGAAATGGTCCCTGGGACTTACAAGTGGCAGAGTTCCCCCGCCCCAGCAGCAGCCATTCTCTGCCCCTATCCCACACAACTAGGGCCTTTTCGGTTTTTAAAAACTGGGTACCAACAGGTTCTCTGGATTCACATCTTTCATTTTAAAATTAAAAGTCCCTAATGCCCCAGTTGTGACAATATGCCTTTCTCTATACATAACTCCCTCCAAAAAATTCGCTGGATTTTTAAAAATGGAAAATAGGAACTCAGAGAACCTGTTACACATATTATACGAATACAGCAATATGATAATTGCCCATTAGAAGAACAAATCCGCCCCCTGGTGGCAGGGGAGGAAATGGCTGCTGTGAGGAAACTGGTTGCCAAGGGGGGGCGGGTGGAACTGGGAAAATCTGGTCTTGCCCACCCAGCGGCCACCCAGCCTTTTGCTGCAATCTTTCCCAAACTTTGGAACAAAACAGTTTTTTAAAAGACTGGGGGAAAGCCATGGGAGGTAAACAAATGCATTGCAATGCTCGGGGGAACCTAGAAAAAACTCACCTCCCAGGAGCAAAACTGGAGCTAATAACCTGCATGGAAATGGCCCAAATCAGCCTGCTTAAGCCTAATCGAATAAAGAGAATCCTAGACGGCAAGGTTTGCAAGTTGTCCCCCCTTCCCTGTGACTCCTTAGACCCAGCTCTTCCAATACTAACAGTTTAGATCACTGGTTTTAGCACTACACTACTTTTGTTGTTTCCACTTTAAATTTCAATTTTATTGGTAACGGGAAGGAGTAGAATTCACAATGCGAAATCTAAAAGCAGGGCTTATGACTTGCAGCTTTGAACAGCTAACCTCACCCACACCTGTTCCAAAGAGGATGCATTTGATAAAATTCTGTTTCTTCCCAGGTTCAGGTTTTGCCCCCACAAATACCATCTCCTCTCAGTGCATTTGAAATTCACAAGCAGTGGATGACCAATGACATTAAATCTGAACAGAGTTAAAAGTGCCCAAATGGAAGAACTTGGTAACACTGATTTCTGCTTTCAGCAGGCAGCTATACCAACTCTCATTATGTCAAACTGTCAACCAGTTAGTCATTTGATACTATACAGTGAGGGACGCTGAAGTCTGAGTGTGTTTTAACACACACTTAATGAACTGTGAGCCACACCTCCTTGCTTTCCATCCTCACTCCTGCCACAGAAGCGCACTACCTCACAGGATTGATGTGAGGATGAAATGGAAGGGTAGAAATGATGTAGTAAGCCACTTTGGATTCCCATTGGGACAAAAAATGTGCCCTCTGTACTGTGGTGGACCTTGTAGTAAAACAGATTATTCGACTATGCAACTGAACAACAAAAAAGATCTGTTCAGACCTTTCTTCACCATTTTACTCACTATCTTCCCACTCACAGCAGTAGTCCTTAAAACCTCACACATCCTCCCCATTCTGCTCCTGTCGCGATATGGAACACAGAAGTGAACATCTAAACTGGAACACTTGCCATTATTTAAACACAGAATCTCTCTTTAGAGTGGAACAGCTCAAAGTTGGTCTCTTCTCTAGTAGTTTCAATTATTGCACAGTTTCGCAGTTTGGCACCGTTCCTCTACAGCAAAGGGTGTTTGTCCAAACACTTTCTGAATACAGATTTATATCTTTGTTTCCGCACAAATGGCTCTAAACACGCAAACATTTCTCTCTGCATGTAGACACTTTTCAGCTGTTTAGATTTAATAGATGGAAATGTGCAAAAAAACAAAAAACAATGTAAAGAACATTTAAAGTACTAGAGTAATTTTACCTCAGACTGTAAGTGTTGGATTACTAGAGTTAATGCTTCAAATTTCCTGTTACTGCTTGCCAAGCATTTCTTCAGTTGTTGGATAATTCCACTTTGGTGTTCACATTTTCTTTTGTATTGCGTCAACTCGTGTGTTTTTGTTTCTGTAGAATGCACTTCAGTAGATCCGCGGGTTTGTATGCATGAGTTCTTAGGACTCCTCTGCTTTCCCTTGTCAACTGCAAAAACAAGAGAAAAACACTATATTTAATTATATGAACTCTGAATCTACAAATGTGTAAGAATCACATCAAGTCATCCATTGTCTAAACTCTGCTATTCAATGAACAATGTTTTTAAAGGGGCAAGCAGCACATTACTTCAAGTAATTTCTAACTGTGAAAATTATTTATTTGGATTTGTTTGCCAGACTGGCTTTCAGTGAAGCATTGGATTTCCACTATGATTTTACAGTCAATGAGCTGAAGTTTATCCATTAATTCAATAACATCAACTTATTCTATTCTCATATACTTTTTCCATTTCAATACTGCTACCAACAGTATTGGAATTCTTTCCTGGTGTATACTTACTCTTCCGGGGTTGCAACTTTGAATGCAATAGACGGCATAATCCATTTTGTATTCATTGTATTTTAATTTGCATAACTTTGAATTCTCTTTTGGTCAAGACTTCGGTCATATAGACGCGTAATAAATTGATACTGAAATTTGCATAACTAGTGTAACATTTGTATGCTAAACAAGTCCACATACTTTGTGTTTTTAACGTTTTTACATATCTTTCATTTCTTTCTTCCAAACCTTCCACTTAGATTTAGCCAATTGTTTGTTGTTAACTACTGTTGCCGAATTACTGAAGCTTTGTATTGCAATACAGAGATTAAAATTAAAGGGTTTCCCAAGTCAATTGAACAATATATTGCTTAACCATTAGAAGCCAAGATATGAAAAGATAATGACAAAGATGGAGCCAGAAAGGCTACAGGGTTCCTTCCTGCAATTCTAGTACAATCACTGTCATAAGTTTTACCCAGTTCGTTAACACTTGTAAATGTTAGCAATTCATGTCAAAGATGGGAGAAGCTTTTAGCACCATCAATGATCACAGAAGTTGTCAGCCATAAGCTACGCAGTACTTGTCCGTAATTTATTTAACTGGGCTAGTCGTACAGGAACATGACACATAGGCAGCTGTACTGTAAATTTCAGAAATTTTCACTGGTTTTCTGTTCTTAAACTTAATTTTTGTAGTCAGACATATTCTTCTATTTCTCCAAAGATGAATTTCCAACATTACTTTATCAAGCAGATCACAAGCATGAAAGGACAGTCTCGAAGTTTCAGACAGATGTCTCCCAAATTTCGCAAAGAGCATTGTAAGACCACATTCTTACTTGCATAGTTCCTTCAAGCTATATACTGTTTTTTATATAACTTTTTAAATTTTATATAACAGACATACAAAGACAAACATACAGAAATACAAATATGGGGAATTTTGTTTACATCATTTGATCTATTTGATGCCCTTATACAGTATCTAAATATATTAATTACTATTTTCACCTTGTAGATTACTCATATACCTTTTGCATATAGTTTAAAGTATAACTTTTATTTCTTCAAGCTATATACTGAAGGAAGGCCTGGCGTGAACTGGTCCATGGGGTCGCAAAGAGTCGGACTCGACTGTGCGACTGAACAACAACAATATACTGTTGACTACTTACCAAATGCACATCATCTACTACAATAAGATATTTGAACAGCTTGAGAGAGAAGCTCCTATGTCAGCTCATCAAATTTGACCAAAAAAAATTCATTTGAGTTCTCAGAGAAAGAATGAACCTTAGACTACACTATTGCTGGCTTCCCTTAATAATAATGATACAGCCTAACATAAGGAAAAAAAGAGTTGGTTTTATACCCCACTCTTCACTGCCCAAAGGAGTCATGGAGCGGCTTACAATCACCTTCCTTTTCTCTCCTCACAACAGACACCCTGTGAGGTAGGTGGGGCTGAGGAGCTCTGAGAGAACAGTGACTGGCCCAAGGTCACCCAGCTGGCTTCATGTGGAGGAGTGGGGAATCAAACCTGGTTCTCCAGATTAGAGACCACTGCTCTTAACCACTACAAGAAGCTGGCTCTCATACTTGGAAGAAGGAGTAACATACTTGGAAGGAGTATATGTCATCTATGGACAAGGGATGAAGAACAAAGGCTTGCGATAAGTATACAATCCACCCTAAGAAATATATTAGCTATATTAAAAACCAGTTAATCTTTGGGTACCCTAGGACTAGTGATGTATTCATACACAATAGGATTAAGCACCACAAGCACCACAGGCCACCTCAAACCCATCAATATATTTCCCTGGCCAGTGCTAGATTAAACAGTGTTAACTTGGCTGATATCCAATAAGCCCATCACTATAAATGAATCTCTGTTTTTTTAAGTGGCTAATCCTGGGTACCTTTGAGCTACTTTAAAATCTGAGCTGCTCATTCTGAAGAACGTTCCAAGTTCTCTGCTCATTCCAAATACATTTGGACTAATCTTGGAAGACTTACTGAGAAGGCCACAGAAAGAAGCACATGGCTGAAGTATATCAAAACTTGGTTCTGAATAAAAGCAAAACCAAGAAAATAAGTCTAATCCTCTCCCTCCTTCCCCATCTATCTCATTATTCCTCAAGCATTCACAGTTCTTTGCATAGACGGAAATGCTGAAGTATTAACAGAACAAAGATAAATTAATGGAATTTGTGTACTGGAGATGTTCATCTGTATTAATAGAGTCAGAGAAAAACAGAAGGCGTGATGCTTCTTAAAAGGGAAAGGCCTGCCCATAAATTCTGTTTGTTGTGAATATTGAATCTACAGCAATTAAGCACAGTGATCGCTAGATCAGAAATTGAACACTCCGGCAAACAGAACACCAGGGCTTGTCAGCTCTGGGTTGGGAAATGCCTGGAGATTTTGGGGGTAGAGCCTGGGAAGGGTGGGGTTTGGGGAGGGGAGGGACCTCTGCAGGGTCCAATGTCATAGAGTCTGTCCTCCAAAGCAGTTATTTTCTCCTGGGGAATCAATATCTATTGTTGTAATAGTAAGAGATCTCCAGGAGGCCAGCAACCCTACAGAACACTCCCACAATACTGAATTTATGTTTACCTTTAATGCCCAAGGTGCGTTAGAACTGCCTCAAGGGGCTATGGTGTCAAAGAACATCTTGTACTAACTGTAGTACCAAAGGATATGGGTAACAGATTATGGCATGTAACACTGGTAGATATGTTGGTTAATTAGCTCTTGACAGAGTAACTGGAATTAGTCCCAGTAATAATAAGAACATCAGAGAAGCCAATGTTGGATCAGGCCAATGGTCCATCCAGTCAACACTCTGTCACACAGTGGCCAAAAATACCAGGTGCCATCAGGAGGTCCAGCAGTGGGGCCAGGACAGTAGAAGCCCTCCCACTGTTGCCCCCCCAAGCACCAAGAAGACAGAGCATCACTTGGCCCCAAACCAAGAGTTCCTATCTATACCTTGTGGCTAATAGCCACTGATGGACCTCTGCTCCATATGCTTATCTAATTCCCTCTTGAAGCTGTCCATGCTTGTAGCTGCCACCACCTCCTGTGGCAGTGAATCCCATGTGTTAATCACTCCTTGAGTGAAGAAGTACTTCCTTTTATCTGTTCTAACCCGACCGCTCAGCAATATCATTGAGTGCCCACAAGTTCTTGTATTGTGAGAAAGGGAGAAAACTACTTCTTTCTCTACCTGCTCTGTCCCACGCATAATCTTATAAACCTCGATCATGTCACCCCTCAGTCGTCATTTCTCTGAGCTAAAGAACCCGAAGCGTTTTAACCTTTCTTCATAGGGAAAGTGTTTCAACCCTTTTATCATTCTGGTCACCCTTTTCTGCACTTTTTCCAATGCTATAATATCCTTTCTGAGGTGTGGTGACCAGAATTGCACACAGTATTCCAAATGAGGTTGCACCATCGATTTATACAGGGGCATTATGATACTGGCTGATTTGTTTTCAATTCCCTTCCTAATAATCCCCAACATAGCGTTCGTCTTTTTTTATTGCAGTCACACACTGTCTCGACATTTTCATTGAGTTATCTACTACGACTACAAGATATCTCTCTTGGTCAGTCTCTGCCAGTTCGGACCCCATCAACGTGTATTTATAATTAGGATTTTTGGCCCCAATGTGCATCACTTTGTACTTGGCCACATTGAGCCCCATTTATCACGTTGACGCCCACTCGCCCATCCTCGACAGATCCCTTTGGAGTGCCTCACAATCCTCCCTGGTTTTCACCACCCTGAACAATTTTGTGTCATCTGCAAATTTAGGCACTTCACTGCTTACTCCCAAGCTCCAAATCATTAATGAACACATTAAGAAGCATCGGACCCAGTACTGAGCTCTGTGGTACACCACTGCTTGCCACCTTCTCCACTGTGAAAATTGCCGATTTATACTCACTCTCTGTTTCCTATTAATTAGCCAGTTTTTCATCCACAAGAGGACTTGTTCTTTTATCCCATGACTATTGAACTTATTTAGGTGCCTTTGATGAGCAACTTTATCAAAAGCTTTCTGGAAGTCAAGGTAAACTACATCTGTTGGGTCCCCCTTGTCCACATGTTTGTTCACCCCCTCAAAGAACACGAACAGATCAGTGAGACAAGATCTTTTCTTACAGAACCCATGCTGAGTCTGCCTCAATAGTTTTTGTTCATCAATGTGCCTACTAATTATCTCCTTTATAACAGTTTCCACCAGCTTACCCAGTATTGATGTCAGACTGACTGGCCTGTAATTTCCCGGATCTCCTCTGGAAACCTTTTTAAAGATGAGAGCAGTGTTCCCTCTAAGCTGAGTTAGAGTGAGGCAGCTCACAGTTTTTTTAGCCTCCGGCGCACACATTTTTATCTTAGCTCAGGAAGGATGGCTCCAGAGCAAACTAATTTATACAGTAATCAAATTGCATGCTCACAACTTTAATGCCTGTAGTTCACAAAGAAGAATTTTTGCTCACGAGACTCCACAGTTTAGAGGGAGCACTGAATGGGAGTGACCTTAGTTACCTTCCAGTCCTCGGGAATGGAGGCAGATTTTAATGAAAGATTACATATTTTTGTCAGGACACCCAAATTTACTACATTCCAATGGCCTTGCCACCAAGCT